TGTCATTACTTACTGGGACACTTGAATAGAACAGGGGGTCATTGTTAATGTTATTAGTAACATCTGTGCTTTCCCTACTGTGGCAAGTCAGAGTTTCTGCTGTGAAAAAGGTCTGTTGGGTGAACTCTAGTCCAGTGACAATCTTATTGTTCAACTCACTGCAGCAAACGTGCCAGTCCTAAAGTCTGTCCATCCTTTCCACCAACTGCTGTGGCTTTTAATCCCACCATAACATTCATGGTATTAAATATTAGGGTGTGAGTAAGCCGTTAAGTGACAATCACCCAGATGTGATTGATGAAAATTCTACGCAGCAACATTTTGCTGTGCTCTCACAGGTACATGTGAACTGACCGATGCAAACTGCACTACTGGTGCTGCCAGTAGAGCATTTGGCTCAGCCAGTGGGCCATTTTGACATATCTTAGCAGAAAAGCCACAGGTCCATCTAATAACAATAATGAAGCTTGCCATACTGTTCAACCAGCATGCACAACATCTGGGGCCATAGAAATGGCACACTTGAGCTCACCTGTTACAGTGCGTACCATGTGTTAAGGCCGAGTCCTTGTGGCAAAAGCCCGGGTTTGAGTCCAACTAGGGCCCTTTGCTACATGTCATTCCCTCACTTTCCCCCGACTTACTATCTCTACTGTCACTATAAAACAAAGCAGAAATGCCAAAAAAAAACCTATAATAAAATAATGTTCACTGTTAAAATGAAAAACTAAGTTTTAGAGAGTTTGATAGCAGTGGCTCATTTTTCCACTGACAACAAACTGCATAATTGCTGGGATGTAGCATTCAAACATTTCATGAGCTGATCAGTGAGTCATATAATGAACTGTTAGGAGGGATTATCAGTTAATCTTTAGTTAGCACACCTAGCTGTAATATAAGGGATCACTTATGTTCAGTCTGAAGTCAAGGGTGTCAGGCCTTCTATGGATAGCACATTGTGTGCTTGTATTGGTCCTACTTATTGCTTAATTTTCTTTGACATTCATTGAAGAGGTCAGTTGGCCTTATAACTAGTGTAAAATGTGCATTGATAGTTAGTCTAGTTACTAGAAATGTGTTGAGGAATATAAATAGGAATTTAAATAAATTGGATTATAATTTCCATACATTCTTTACATTATTTTTACCACTGATGAAATATTTCACGACTTGTTTATTAACATATTTTTTTCTGTTTGCAGGTGGTCATCACCAGGCTAAAGCTGGACAAGGACCGCAAGAAGATCCTGGAGCGCAAGGCCAAATCTCGCGCTGATGGGAAGGAGAAGGGCAAATACAAGGAGGAGACCATTGAGAAGATGCAGGAGTAAAAATGATCTTTTGCTATCAATAAACTGTGTAAATGGACCTCACTTTGTCTGTCTCATGTTTTAGCATTGGAGATGGAAGGATTTTGTTTTTGCATCATGTATCTGTAGGTGAAGTCATTTCTATTTCAAATGTGCAGACCTTTTATTTTAGGTAGTGTAACACAAAGATCATTTATACTGTACATCACCTGTCATAAAATTTAGCCACAGTGAAAGGTCTGTAAAGAACCCACAAGCATACACAACACTGTAGAGCACCAAGGCCAGAAATGCAGAAGATGTCTGCATGTGATGTTTACATAGAAATTATAAAAATTCATTGAAATGCCCTTGCTTGAAATCTGTCAGCCTGGTATACAAGGAGATTGAAGGAATTAACTGCTACTGGTGGGTTCATAAATACATCTTCCACAGATTGAGTATATAATCTCTTTTAGGGTTCAGACACTAAAATGGATAAGGACATGACTTAACTCAATCGTTACATGCGGTTTATGTGGACAATCATTCATGAAAAGTGGAATTAAATCAGTTCAACATTTTTGATTACAACAGGGCACTGGTTGTAGTGGTAACAAATGTGCAATTTTACTAAATGAGCAGTAGGTGTCACTTTTTCCCGCAAACTGGACATTACCAAAGAGCATCTGTCAGAGGCATTTTCTTGAACAGCATGTTATTTATCCAAAAGTTATAGTGATTATTAACCATTTTTAATGAACTGTTAAACTTTCGCATTCATATAACATGAAATAATGTGCTGGGCAATAGAAAAAAGGTCAGATTGGCCCTTGCTGCATCTTTTCGGTACGTTCAGGCTGTAACCAGACATGCGCTTTGCATGAGTGTGGAGTGTCACCTCCCTCCTCTCTGGTTCATGGTCATGTGATACGTGCCACCTCTTCTCTGCCGTAGAAGCAGCTGGACTGAAGTTGACTACTGATCTAAAGTCAGAAGTTTTTACACTGTGGTGTTCTTAGTTTTAAACAGAACACCGCCATGGCGGAACTAAGTTTTGTAATCGCCATGTCTGTGGTGACCCTGTTTTGGGCCATTGTTGGAGGAGTAGTGCCGCTGTTTATCCCCAAAGGACCAAACAGAGGGTAAGTTTGTTAGCTTCACTTTAGCTTTCAGCTAGCTAAGTTTTTTTTATTGTAGTTTGTCCCGTGACTCTTTTTTGATACATGTAGACCTACACTGTAGAAAACGATTGTTTTTGAATAAGTTTCCCAGCGTTGTCTGAACAATATAAGTAATTTAAACCCTGTGAGCTAACATTACTCGCAAGATAGTGAAACTTTGTGTTGGCTAATTGAAGCTAATTTGACAGCAACTTCCTCCTGTTCGAGTCGGTGGAAGCTCCATACTTAGTGTTACCTTTTCATGCTAGGGTTGCTGGCGTCTCCCTACAATAAATCTATATTTTCACGTTGTTACCTTAAGATACCAAACTCAAGAGGAAATATACTCCATCTCTGGAAAGTCTGCCTAATGCAACTTCCCTTATTTGCCTTTGTGTCACTCTATCACGAGATCAAGCTGTGTTAGCTAATGAATGGTCTGTGATGTATTTGGAAACCATTTATAGAATCATGAGATGTAAAGTATGCCACTTTAAACTGTTTTTCTGCTGTTCCCACAGAGTGATTGTCACAATGCTGGTGTTAACTGCAGTTTGCTGCTACCTGTTGTAAGTAATTATCCTGGAAATGTACCAGGTTTCTTCCAACAAAATGTGGTAGCCTGTGTTTTAAAACACCTATAGCACATATTTAACCAAAACAAAGGAGGGTCAGTAAGAATCATCGCTATCATATAATTCACTGAAAAATTAGTTGAAAAATCCCATTGACAGAAAATGATTTGGCATCTGCTTTAATAATCTTTAATGCTTTATTAATCATTGAAGTAATTTGCCAAGTAAAAATATCAAATATTCCCTTGTCCCAGCTTCTGAGATGTGAGGGTTTGCTGCTTTTCTTTGTCCTATGTGATAATAAACTGAATACTTTGGGGGTTTTGGACTGTTGTCAGACAAAACAAGATGTCACCTTGGGCAAATCTTAAATTGCAGCCCAAATAAAAGAGGAAATATAGGCCCCCATTTCCACAAGTGCTCATTGCTTCGGTCTCAGTGCTATCTCCTCTGTCCCTTCATATTAATATTTGTTCATTATTGTCAAAACAACAAACATTGTCATTTGACTTAGTACTGTTATGGATATACATAGTATTTTTGTCCTGTGATAAAATATTTATGCTCACAAGTAGGTGCAAGTGTGCATATGGTGTCATGTTACATGTCAGATGGGCAATAGAGGGCAGCAGAGACAAGGCAGTGTTGCAGCCAAGTGAAGTCATTTACCAAAGGCCCTCAGTTTGAGGCTGGGTAGAATAATCCTAACAGCAGGATGTGTTGTCATGAAAAATTAAGGCCCGATTTCAGAATGACCTTTTGTTAGACAGTAGGAAATGACCCACATCACTAAGCTTTGAAGGATATGTTTTGAAGTGCTCAGTTTTATTGCTGAGAAGTTTTGTATTGATACCTGTGGTCTTGCTATCCTTTCTGTCCACCAGCTGGTTAATAGCAATTCTGGCCCAGCTGAACCCACTGTTTGGGCCTGCTCTGTCCACTGACACCATCTGGTACCTGAACTATCACTGGCCTTAATTTACATTTCCAGGACCCCTGACCAAGTAGGTAACCTTCTTGCTCTGAAACACTAAAGCACTGAATTTACATTCGATGTAGTAACTTTAATGTGTAGCCTGAAGATCATTTATTTTATTTATTGGCTTGGTTTTCTCTAAAACTGTTAATAATTATGTTTGTCAGCAGGGGAAGACCTGACACTGCTGCATACCAATGGATGTTTGCTAGTCACTCCATGCAGAGATCATTCCCTCTGAATCGCCTTAAACTCAGATCCCTGTGTGATTATTGAGTGATGCCCCCACTGGTGCCTTGTACAAAAATGATTCCCAAAGGACTTCTGAGATATCTCACTGAATGTGCTTTACTTGAAATTAAAGCAGCCTTCACTTGGTGTTGTTTGGTTTATATATAATGTATATTGTGTTAATGCTATTGTTGATAAGAATGAGCTTGCCTTTAAATAGTTGAGTGATGTGTTTGATGTGCCCTCTCTTTGTCTGTTAATATTACCAATGGATGTAATCAATATGATTGTTGTCAATCAATAAATTAATAATCAACTCTATGGGTCCATAACTTTTGGATTTTGTTCTGCCTAATTTATGAGCTTGTGACCTTTACTAGTATGTTGATTGTAATGACTTAATTTTCTTAGTAAATAATTATATAGCAAATAATAATAATTTCTCTCCTTTTTGTTGACGTGCATATATAAGAATAATTTAATTAGCTACTTTACAAAATATGCCATTAATAGGGTTTTATTCTGCTAAGATTTTTTCCACGTTAAAGAATATACATTTTTGTCAGTTATGTGAATTATTTCACATAACTGACAAAACATATTTAATTAATTAACGGTATAGTACATAACAGTGTTCTGTTATTACGTTTTATGTTCTGTTTTTTAACATCATAAAATGTATTGGGTATGGTTGTACGGGAAAAGTTGCCAGTCGCAGTTCAAAACAGGCTTCTTGCTTTCCGTAGCTTGAGTCGACTACGTTGGCAACATGGCGTCCTTAGATGTCCACGTCCGAATATGTGAACAAGAAATACTCAAATATGACTTGGAAATCAAAGCTCTCATCCAGGTGCGAGTATTTGTTTGGTAAGACTACTTAGTGCTAGATTACAACATCTGAGCGTTTGGCCTTGTCAATAAGGAGAACCGTGTTTTAGTCTAGTAGCATCTCGTGTGTGCAGCTGCTGCAGTCAGCCGGTGTACCGACAGCCACAGCCGTTCCGCCGACACGAGCTCCCGGTGGAGTAAAAGCGCTTTAACGTATCTCTTCAAGCAAAAATAACTTGTCAAGTGTGCGTACCGAGCTAAGGCAGTGGTATGAGGTGGGAAATAAACGACCAGCATAATAAATCGGCTTTACAGACCGACAACGTTAGCTTATTCTGTTTGGGAGGGAACCGAAACTCATTCCGAGCTTTAAATGTCTAAATGTGCTTTAATTAGGAAAACCAATTCACCGAGTTATATTAGCTCACTCATTATACAGTATTCATCTGTGTACGTCTTGTTTTGAAGCATTTGTAACATTGTAGTCTAGCTTAAGAATTTCTCTTCAGACAGTTGGTGCTAAATTAATTAATTGACCAAAAATGAATTAACAATTTCACAAGAAGTCTTGTATCAAGCAAAAGTTAAAATAATTTACTGCTTTGAGATTCTCAGTGTTGCTGTTTTTCTCAGTTTTTCTATTATTGTAAATTGAATATCTTTGGGTTTTTGACTGTTGGCTTGGCAAAACTAGACAATTGAGGGGCAAGACGTGCGTTTTTCTTTCTTTTCTAAAATTTTAAAGTTAAACAATCATGAAAATAACTTAAGATTAATCTTCCAGAGAAAGCAACACTTACTGCGCAGCACAGTTTCTTTTTTTATTCTCAAATGAGCGCAACATGTTGAAACCAGTGACTTCACCAAACAATGATGCAGGAGAAATGGACTGTATATCTCATTATATCATTCTTATTTCATTGTGTCACCAGGATATTAATGAGTGCACAGGTCCTCAGAGCAAGCTGACAGAACTGAACGCAGATGTGAAAAAGAGTTTCCACAATCTCAGACTGCGAATTCAGGTAAGAAAGGCTGTCTGTGAACACGTCTGTATACATGACATGTGCATGATAATGATACAGTGTGCAGTATAAACCCCTCTGAAACCGAACAAATTCAGCTATTTGTCGATTGAGACATATTTGTGGTTATTAATGTGCGGTAATGTTTCAGCAGCACTGGTGTATCAATTGCCAATGACACATTTCAATACTAAACGAATCAAAACTTATCAAAATGGTACAAGTTTCAAAATAAAACTGCATAAAAATGTTTTCTGGTGCTAGTTAAGGGCGGTGGATCAGTAGATGAGTCTGTTGAGCGTTACACTAAAACTGGTACATAACCTATTGAATCAGTGTTAGACTTAATGCTGACATCAAGGGCAGAGTAAGAATATTAGTGACTGATGACATATCTGTAAATGTTGTTATAAGTATATGTTTAATAAATATCAATTTTGTCATCCTTCCATTAATTGTAATGTTGATCATTTAGAAATAGAATATATCTTTGTAATAATAATAATAACATAATAACCGATGGCTCAGAAAACATCTGTGCTATTTTGTTCCTTCGACAGGACTTAGAGCAGATGGCGATGGAGCAAGACAAAGAGTCTGACAAGCAAACTTTGATCAGTCAGGTAGAGGGACACAAGAAACAGATGCTGAGGTAATGTCTTTTAGTTTGAAATATCCTTCCATTTCCTGAGTTGTGACTGTCAGTGAAATGTAAACTGTTGTGCATATAGTCACATTTCTTTGTTGATAATGCTGCTAAACTGGTGGGAGAGGAGCATGTGACTTTCCTGCTTAAACTTGCTGAATGCTAAATGTAATAAAACTTACTAAATGCAAGATGTGCTTTTTTTCATTTTTGTATAATTTGCAGTAACCAGACAGCTTGGAGGAAAGCCAACCTTGCCAGCAAATTGTCCATAGACAATATGGAAAAGCAGGCACTTCTTAACGGAGCAGATAGTACTGTGAGACAGAGGTGAGCAGCCAATGTCTCCTAATGGTAACATTGTTATTTTTCACAGTATCAGAGTTGTATTTAGAAGAATACATTGTGTGTCACATCTGGGATACTTTTAATTAGCCTGAAGACAATGATATCTAATCTTCTTTATATCTCTTTCTCAGGAAAATGACCAAAGAGGGCCTGGCCCAGACAACCAGTGACATTACAGAAAATCTTATGAGCATCAGCCGGATGATGGCCCAGCAGGTTCAACAGAGCGAGGATACCATGACATCACTAGGTTAGTAAAGGAAACACTTCAAGTAGGGAGTGTGTTAACAAATTCATGATTATCCTGTTTCTACCATATTTATTGAACTTTAACTTTAACCAGTTTACAGTGTTTGAGGGTAACCTGGTTTAATGCACATCATCTGACATGAATATCCACTGATATTAATAATGTGTGCAACCCCACCCTCCTTTCAAGAAAAGGCTTTATGCTTAAAACAGTTTTCTCTTCCGTTTGAAGCAACCTCCTCAAGGACAATCCAAGAGACCAATGAGGAGTTCAAAACCATGACGGGGACCATCCAGCTCGGGAGGAAACTCATCACCAAGTACAACCGCAGGGAGCTCACTGATAAACTGCTCATCTTCCTGGCATTGGCTCTCTTCCTCGCCACAGTTCTCTACATCCTTAAGAAGAGACTATTCCCCTTCCTGTAGACCAGGTACCTCAGTGGAGCTCTCCCACAACCACATACTACAGTACTTTCCATAGTCAGCGCAAATGATTTAAACAGTTCTGAATGCTGTGTGTCATGTTACACACACATTATACATTAGTGTCTGCTCAGAGGAATGTGGTCTGCTCACTCCACTGAACTGTGACGCTTCTGAGGGTGAAATATTGTCCACAAAGAGGAAGATAAGCCTCCGCACCTATAGCTCCATGCAGTGTTTTATTTATTTTAGTCTACATTTTTTCATCAAAGGGAATCAGTGATTCAAGAGGATGTACTTGTGGTGGCACACATTGTGTCAGAGGTTTTTCGTTAGTGAGACAGTAATGCCGTGCATTGCTTTCAATCAAGCCAGACGAGGAACGATGGACGACCCATAGAAATCTTTTTACACATTCCTGTGAACCATCCAGTACAGTTTTTCTTTTCATATTTACCAATGATGAGAATGGTACCTAAAAACTGTATTTGCTGGACCAGTTTGCTTCAGATTTTTAGTGAAGAATGCTGATAATGTGCCGAGAGCTGTAAAACTCATGTCTAAGCATGACACACAGTGAGTTCTCCTGTCGAAAGAATCGGTTTAAGATAAAACAAAATAAAAATAAAATTTAAAAATAACTCTCTAAGGAAAACATTTCTGGAAAAATCTAATTTGATTATCATAAAACAAATACCACCGTAGATATCAGTTCAACATGCTCTTACTGGCATGAATGCCAGTTATGAAAACAATATTGACAAGGAGTTAAAAAAAAGTCGGGTAGGATTGGGAGAATGGACTCGTTTTATATATTTGTCAGTAACTTCTGTTTTAAAGGTACTGTATGTAACATTCAGAAAATCCTTGTTGATGACACCGGTTGCTGCTAACTGCAGTCGCCGTCCTGTTGCTCATGCTCGCACTCCTTAGGGTAGAAGTGAGCGAAGATGCTGGGTGTCTGCCAAAACATATAAGTGACATATAAGACTGAACATGATTAACCAGCATCATGTTGATAGATGAGGTAACTGAAGTTATACTGTTATTATAGTTTGACTATAAACTATATTTGAGACCATAGACTCTCCCTCCAGTGCTGACACAGTGCTAAAACAAAGTGTGGAGATAGGTCTGGCTATGCAAGGATTTATTAAACATGATATTGTTGTCAGCTAGCTTGCTAGCACAATATAGGCTAGTGACGTTGATCAAATCCATTTTCGTTGCAGTATTCATTCACTGCATTTATATTATATGTCGGCGTTAGCTAGCTTGCCAGCTTTATCAATCTCTGTCAACCAAGAGGCTCAGCAATGTCAGCATAGTTAAATTTGCTGGATGATAGCGCTAACGTTTAGTATTTCCACACTTAATCATTGACGTGATAGTTTCCATCACAACTCTCATTTCACTAAATCAATGCACTAATGTTCAATAATCTTAAAGTAGCATAAGTTATAAACAGATGAGAGGCGTGGGATGAGTAATGTTTGACTGGAGATAATGCACATAAAAACTACAAAGTAAAGAACAGATGTTTTGTTTTGTGCTGGAGGAACCAGTTGTTGACATTAGGGGTCTCCATTTCTAAGCTAATATTAGCAATGTTGCACACTGTTGGCGCTGTACAGCAGTGGAAGAGAGGCACTGAGGGAGGGCACTCGGGGCGCAGCATAAACACCACATCTTTAGGATTTTCCTCAAAAAATTCAGCCCAAGTCCTTTACATAGAAAACAGTTCACAGGCTGTTACAGGTGAGCAAGAAAGTTAGGGAAGGTCTTACCTTACAATCCGTTCACACATTAGCATTAAAAAGTCATTAATACATTAACCTTGCTTCACATTCTTACATATAGTACCTTTAACCATTCTGACAGTTTTCCTCTGATATCATGAAGTCATTGCACAAGTCATGTACATGTTTTTTGGGTAATTGTTATTTATAACGAAATACTGTATAATTACTGTAAGGTATAATCATTATTACATTATAATGATCTAATTCTATTTTTGAAAATAGAAATATTTAAATGTTTTTTTTAACTTTATTATGATCCAGGCCCATCTGCATTCACTTGCTGTTTGTGTTTCACTAGCTCAGTAATCAGAATGGGTCTGTATGTGCACTTAAAACTGTGCCTATGTTTTATTCAGTTGGCATACAAGCCAAAAAAAACTTTATTCAGTGTGAGATTCAGAACACTCTCCTCCGTCTCTGCCCATGTTAGCCTGTCTCTGCTGCGCAGCAGAAAAGCTCAGAAAAACAATGAGCAGTCATCACACTGGCAGAGATAGAGCAGCATGCATCCCTGCCTTTCTTCAGATAAGACCCGGAAAAGCAGATTATTCCGACCCGTTTCCCTCTCCCATTCTAGTGTGAGTGGAGGTCGAGGGGGGATATTTTTAGGCTTGTGTGGCGCTGTTATCTGACATTGCCTTTTCAGCACCTCTGAGGAGAGGGTGACCAGAGGAGCTACATGACCTTGCTACCCTCTCTGGAATTGCCTGGCATTGCCATTATGTTAAATACATGTAAATGCTGTCAGTATTGATTATCAATAAACATACAGTCTTCTGGCTTGATGTTTGACATGTGTGTCACATGTATTTGTGGGTTTCTATTACTTAAAATGAGATAGAAGACAACAGCGTATGTGTGGAGAGTCCTGAGAGATGCCTAAGCATCTCTTACTGGGGTAAAGTGGTGGCAGTTGGGCAGAGCCAGTTCTGAGCCTGTTCATATAACTGCACACTTAGCCGAGGCCTCAGGCTCTCTGTCAAGCAAATTGGTCTATTCTTGCATTTAGCACCGCGATAGTGTCAATCAAGTGTTTGGGTTCGTATCTGGATAAGTGGCTTGGGATCTCAGGGGAGTGAACACGGCACCGAACTGTAAACACAGGTAGTGAACGTCAGGAATCTCAGCGACTCCACATTCATGTCGTAAATTTCACAGTTGGACCAGTTTTGTTCAGTTAGTATTTAACTGTTACTTGACATTAACCGTGCAATTTTACCACTGAGTGTGAGTCCAGGTAAACTGAGTCTACCAGTATTCAAATCTGTCAAATGAAACACATAATGACTCCCCAAGGTGTCAAAGAGGTAACATTTAATAATCAACTGTACTGTCCAAAAATAGATAAATATCTTTGATCAGGTAACATCTCAAATGTCCTGATATTTACAAGTACAGAGAGAAGGCTGGTGACTTTCACGGTGGCGTTTGACAGATTAAATCTGTGTTGAAATTACTTTTACACAAATTTCAATTCATGTCAATGAGATTTAAAAAAAAAAAAATACAATAGAATTATTAACAGCATTTCCTTATTAGAACCTGATTTTAAACATTTAGTACAAGTCAAGGTCATGGCTCAGAGCCACCTCAGTCCCTGAAACTTTAAAACACGTGTGTACATGTGTCTGACAGCAGGTTGTAAAAAGTCTAAACTTTAACAACCTTTTAACCCTATTTGAGCATATTGAAGGAAGCTTCCTAACAGCCACTTGAACATTTTAACCAGACACAAACCATATCAAGGTTGTACAGATGTTAAACTCCTTTATGTCACTTATTAGGAGACCCAGCTGCATGGATTATGTATCCTCATATCTATAGATCACTATTAGGCTACATACATATGCTTAATGGTTTTCTAATGTCTTTGTTTTCTCTGAGTGTGTTTTTTAATGATTAAGGAATTAACTGCCAGAGCCAGTTTCAATTTCACATAATAAGAATTAAATATTTGCAAGGCAGAAATAATAACAATAATATTAATTATAATAATGGCCTGTATTGAATTAATCATTTTCCATAGCCTACATAGCTATTGTATTTTACGTCGTCCACCGCTGAGAAAAAGTTACTGTCGTATCTTTTTAAGAAAATAAAACTGAAGAAAAAAAAAATAGAAAATGGTTGCAAATTTAAACTTTAAATTTAAATCAAAACATTTCAAGAATTGTGTAGTTGCACCTTGTGCATGTATTTTTTTTTTTTTTTAATATTCGCTCAAATTACATGTCTGTGCTCTAATGTCACGAAAATAAATGAAAATGTAGCTCTTCAGAGAAAAGCTGGTGCTGAAAACAAAAAAACTACCAAAAGTAAGGCATCAAATATAAGAGAAGTTACAGAAACTCTGCAATATCCTGACACGTTTAAAATGCATGCAGTCAGAAAATAATCCCGTTATATGGAGTTGGTAACACGAGTATTTGATATATTGTCCCTGCTTCACCATGTCCTAATGCTATGTAATGAGGAGACCCCATTACTGGAGGAGAATGTGTTCTGCACATTATTCAGGTCTCCTACCCCAAAGTTCATGTAATTCCCGTTGTTGGAGGATCCTTGCATAGTTTGCATTGTGGCTGCAGGATAGTTACACGCATAGTTTGTGTTGCAGCTGGGGCTGGTGTAGTTACTGAAAGCTGGATAGTTGTTATAAGTGAAATGGTTGATGTGACCCATGCTGTAGGAGGGGTTGTAGGTGGCAGTGTCTGCCGCCAGGCAGGGCTTCCCATCCCGCACCAGCACCGGCACCGACACCCTTCTGGGCGGCGGCAGAGACACCATCTCCAGGCTCTGGTCCTGCCTCTGCCGCTTGCACTTGTACCTCCTGTTTTGGAACCAGATCTTCACCTGGGTCGGCGTGAGTTTGAGCACCCCGGCCAGGTGGTCTCTCTCCGGGGCGGACAGATACCTCTGCTGCTTGAAGCGGCGCTCCAGCTCGTACACCTGCGCCTGGGAGAAGAGGACCCGCGGCTTCCTGCGTCTCCGGGCCTTGGGTCGATCCGGTTCCTCGGTTTTTATATCCTCCACAGGCTCGACAGGCGGACTGAACTCCTCTGATGAAACCAGACAGAGAGAAAATCATGAAAAAAAATCTGCAGATGTGACTACTTAACATAGGGCCATATGGATATTTTATTTTTAGACCCATTCTTGCTGCTACAACTATTAGATTACAAAAAGCACCAATAAAAAATAATGATAACTATAACAACAACAACAACAACAACAACAAAAATAATAATAATAATAATAATAATAATAATTACCAGCATTATATATCTATTATATTTTATGATATTAAGTAGCATGGCTAGGCTAGTGCCAGTTCTGCCAAGTTTGGCCGTTCAATTCGCATGGCCACCCATGATGTATTCAGTGTAATCTTGGGAAAAATTAATTTACCTACATGTAACGCATATGGCATGTAATTAAATAACTTAATATAATCGATGTCAAAAATGCCGATGCAACTTGTGTATTATTCTTACGGATTTCTTCTTAATAAACGGTAAACAGTAGGCTATAACAGGCCTACAAGAAAATCCTGAACATCAACTTAACATTTATTTTTTATTTACATGTTAAGATACCGTTTAAAGGTCTGTGTCCTGAAGAAGAAGAAAAGAATCCTATTAGAGTTGGCTGCTTTGATGGAGTTGTTTTCAGTTTATCAGTGGCGTTTTGCACACATCAAATAACATGAGTCAGTATAGGCCTAATCACAGGCCTGCAAAATAAAATAAAAAGTTGTCCTCTCATCAACTAACCTTTTCTGCGTTTCCCCACAAACGCGTCTGATTTCCCATCCTTAATTATATCCATCTCTAAGAAGGATTTCCCATAAAAGGTGGTAGCAAAGCTGAGCGCGTTGCCTCTGCCCGCTCTGGACTCGTGGAGGTCTTCTCCAAACAGCGAGGCGGCGGCGGACGACATGTCCCGGAGAGGCTCCTGCTTCAGGCGGGCCAGCATGCAAGAAGAGGAGGAGGAGGAGGAGGATGAGGAGGAGGAGGAGATCGGCACGGTGCTGCAGCAGTCCATACGTGAAGAAACGTCCAAGGAAGACACCATAACGTCATGACTCTGCTCCAAGTTTAATATATCCTTTACAGAGAAGGGAGTGGATGTGCTGGGACTGGGAAACATTGCCAAGAACTCAAAAAGAAAACCTATTAACCTGTCAACTGGAAGCAGCAAAAAGACGTCAACAAACCCTCTGTCCTTCCTGGTAATATTTACTGGGTTGAAGTATTAGTTTGGTATACCAGAGTGATCTTGAGTGAAGTGTGCATTTTGAATGTCAACCCTGTCTCCAAACTTTTTTCTTGGCCTCCCTCTCCCACCGGTGACGCAGGGGAGGGAGGGGGGAGTCGGCGGGTCCCTCTATATGGAGCCACTGATACTCCCATTTCATGACGTAAAGTGATATCTGGTACACGTTAGGCTTGATGTTACTTATGGGCCTATATGTGTTCATCCACTGCAAAAACACCCAGCGAGTGCACATCTTATTATTCGCACTGCAAAGGAAAATAAATTGTTCTAAATATTTTTTCATCAGTCAGGGATTTTCTCTATCCCAATGGACAGATCTGCCTTGTTTTACAATAGCCATGATTTATAGAATTATCAAATTACTTGAAAATATAAATATGGATATTTTTCAGCTTTGTAGTTCGTCATTACGCACAATGGAAACGCGTTTCCAGTTTACACAACAGTAGACTATTTGGGCGAATGTTTACACACATCTTCAAGTGCAAAGAGAAATAATTTATCCAACTCGGTGTGTATCAAAATGCTATAATAACAACAAAGTAGATAAACTTAGCATTATTTAGGTCAGTGGAAGGAATTAACAGGGGTGTCAATGTGTCTGCTGAACCTGATCGTGCGCGTGCATGTGTGTTTTGGGTGCCGGTCTTCGCCTCATCCGACGGGAAACTGAGCAGACGAGCTTCAAAAGAGAGAAAAAAAAGAGGCGAGTAGACAACAGGTTGAGTCCCTGAACACAGAATCTGAAACCAGGAGCGACACACTCTGCTGTCTGCCTCCAAGAGATTCTGGAGCCACTGTCTGCCTTATCAGGACGTGATAACAGATGACAACAAACCTGCTTCACACACACACACACACACGCACACGCACGCACACACATACCTTCCCACCCACGCTGCAGGCCAGGTTATCCTGAAGAAGTGTCATATATGACACCCAAGTTTTAACCAATAAAACAGCCCCATTTGATTGATTTTAAGCTTTTTAATTTGACCATTTTGATCAATTTTGTTTTATTCCAAGACAAGTGATCAAATTAAAGTTCCAAGGAGCAAGACACATCACCTCCAGGTGCATTCTTCAGGATGTAATCTGATGAGAGGATGTCAATTAAGCATCAGATCACAATCAGCATACAATTCACAGATCAAAATAACAATGTGCAAATCATTTCCCCGTGCAACAGTAAAAATGGAGACAACTGTGCGTAATGACGCATAGCCTCCATGTGTTTCCCCCCGCACGGTTGGCACTAAACCTGCTATTAATGCCTGTGGAGACGGTCACAGGAGACAGACAGTATTATCGTTTGTTTTATCTTCAGCGTTTAGCACAGCCACGGGGTAAATGGGTCCCCCTGTCTCCGACCCAGCGATGGTGTTTATAGTTTTAAAGACTATTTGTGCGCGTCGCCAGCTGATGAATGGCCGTAAAATCTTTCTCAGGCGCACTGAGAGTCAACACTGGCCCGGCTCTTGCTGTAATAATTGGCGA